AGGCCCTGCTGGGCCCTGCTCTGCCGGCCCAGGGGCTCAGCCCCAGGCCAGCGCGGCGGGGTCCTGCTGCTGCCGCTGTCCCCGTGCCTGGGCCAGGCAGACGTGTGTCCCACTGCTGGCCAGGATGGCCCTGCCCACCCCCTGCTTCCTTCCTGCCTTCACACTCAAAATAAAGTTCACTCTGCATTGGAACTGGAGTCTCCTGGAGTTCCTTCCATTTTGGGACACCTGGCTAAAGCTGCTCCATTGGGGAGGTCACAAAAATCACAGTTATTGGGGTTGGGATGCACTTCTGGAGCTGATGTGGCCGAACCCTCTGCTCAGGTGGGACAAATGAGGGAGTTGATTTAGATGTCAATGGCTTCTCAATCTGTCCAAGGATGGGCACTCCATAACCTCCCTGCTCCATGGGTTTCATCGCTCAGTAGAAAAATGTTTCCTGGAACACCTTCCATGGCTCGTGTCCTGCATGTGACAGAATGCCAGGGGGTTGTCACCCTTCACTTCTGCCACAAGACTGTCCCCTGTGCCCTCCTGTCCCTCCTGGAGGGGCCAGTGGTGCTGGCAGGGCTGCAAGCACAGCTCAGGAATTCACGGGGAGACATTCCCGAGGCGGAGAACATCGCTGTGGTGTGGATGGTGATGAAGAGGAGGACAAGGTGCCTCCTGCTTCCTCCCACATCTTGTACTACCTGTCATCCAGGGAAGAACAGAACCATGGAATACGCAGATTGGAAGGGACCTGCAAATCACCAAACCAAACTCCTGGCCCTGCACAGACACCCCAAAATCCCACCCTGTGCCTGAGGGCATTGTCCAAACACAAGAAGTGACCCTCACTCTACCTGGAGCAGGGAATGGAGGGTTGGAGACCATTCCAGAAGGGAAGGCAGGGAATGGAGGGGTCAGAGACCACTAAAGGGAAGCCCCTCGGTGCTGACAATGGGACCAGGCCAGGCCAGTTGGACCCTGCATGTCTGAGTGCGCTGACATGAGGGAATGGAGGAACCGGTGATCCTGCTCTCTGCTTGCCTCCAGTGTTTTCCTGCTGACATTCCCAGACCATGAGTCCTTCTGATGTGTTTTGATGTCTCCTTGGAGAGCTCTGCAGGCTCTTTCCACCGCCTGCCACTGAGCTTGGGTGTAGATTCCAAGAAGGGTTTTGGAGATTTGGGGATGGAGAAGGAACAGTGGGAAAGGCCCAACATGGACAGTTCTGGGTGGAGCTGGTGCAAGCAGAATTTGGGTGTGCTGGAGAGGACTTTCAGCTTTTCAAACATCCTCCTGTTGAATCGAGGATGCTGGGGGCTCTCCACAGAGGCATGGAAGTGCAAAGAGCACATGGATTTGTCGGGATGTGAAATTCCTGACTCTTCAGAGTGTCCAAGGTGACAGGGAAGTTTACACCCAGCTCTGATGGAGTTGTGTATTTGCTTACGCAGTGGATGAGGTGACCCCTGTCACAGAAAACACATTTTTAACCTTGGCTTGTTATTTTAGGGCTACCAGAAGAAATGCCCTGATCATTTTGGGAACCCTAAAGTGAAGCCCTGGAGGGCAAAGGGCCTGATGTCCCCTGGTGAAATAGGACAGTCCCCAGCACCAGCTGTGTCACCCGGCCCTGCTGACGTGGCATTGCCCCCAGACACATTTTGGCCTCTAATCCTGGCACTTGAAAGGAGCCTGGGAGGCTGACTGGGCACGTCCTGCACAGGGAAATGAAAAAGCAGCGTTGTGGTGTCCCCATTTCTCTAATGGGGATGTTTTGCATGCAAGATGAGCTTGGTAAACACCTTCCCTGTGCCGAGGGTGCCTGCGGGCCCGGGGCTGTGTGGGACGGTATAAAAGGCAGAGCAAGCACAGGATCCTTCATCCAGCTCTCCTGCCTTCTCCTCCTCGGTGACACAGGTGAGCTGCAAACACCTTTACCTTCTTTTTGTCCTTCTCCTTCAATTTGCCTTCACCTCTGGCCGTGCTGCTGTGGAGCTCCTGCTGAGAACTTCTCTCCCAGACCCTGCTCCCAGCCTCTGCTCACTGGGAGGAGGTGGGAGAAGCTGTTGGGCTCTTGGCAGAGAAACCACGGGGTTCCTGATCCTTTCTTACTCCCTCTTCCCTGTCCCTTCTCCCCAGGCTCTGCTCTTTCTGTGCCTCACCTTCTGCCTGTGCCTTCTGCAGGTGCTCCTCCAGCCACAGCCATGTCCTGCTACGACCTGTGCCGGCCCTGCGGCCCCACCCCGCTGGCCAACAGCTGCAACGAGCCCTGTGTCCGGCAGTGCCAGGACTCGCGGGTCATCATCGAGCCGTCCCCCGTGGTGGTCACCCTGCCCGGGCCCATCCTCAGCTCCTTCCCCCAGAACACCGCCGTGGGATCCTCCACCTCTGCCGCCGTGGGCAACATCCTGAGCGAGTCTGGGGTCCCCATCAACTCGGGGGGCTTTGGGCTCTCGGGGCTCTCGGGGCTCTCTGGCCTTGGTGGCCGCTACTGTGGCCGCAGGTGCCTGCCCTGCTAGAGCCGGGCCGGACGTCCAGCCAGTGCCTCCGCCAGGAA